GTGAGAAAAGAAACATTTAGATTTTTAAAAAATACCCCCAAAACTTCAACGTTTTCCATAGCCGGCATCATCGAAAAAGTAAGTTTTTCACCCAAAAATCCAACTTCACCAAAATTGCTCAAAGGTTCACACCAGGTGCCTAGAGGGAAGTACTGAATTCCCTGAAGAGTTCAACTCATTACATTCAGTATTCAGTGAGATTAGAAACATTTAGATTTTTGAAAAAATACCCCCAAAACTTCAACGTTTTCCATAGCAGGTATCATCGAAAAAGTCAGTTTTGACCCAAAAATCGAACTTCACCAAAATTCCTCAAAAGTTCACACCAGGTGCCTAGAGGCCAGTACTGAATTCCCTGAAGAGTTCAACTCATTACATTCAGTATTCAGAGAGAATAGAAACATTTAGATTTGTGAAAAAATACCCCCAAAACTTCAAAGTTTTCCATAGCCGGCATCATCGAAAAGTCAGTTTTTGACCCAACAATCCAACTTCACCAAAATTGCTCAAAAGTTCACCCTAGGTGCCTAGAGGCCAGTACTGAATTCCCTGAAGAGTTCAACTCATTACATTCAGTATTCAGAGAGAATAGAAACATTTAGATTTGTGAAAAAATACCCCCAAAACTTCAACGTTTTCCATAGCCGGCATCATTGAAAAAGTCAGTTTTTGACCCAAAAATCCAACTTCACCAAAATTGCTCAAAAGTTCACACCAGGTGCCTAGAGGCCAGTACTGAATTCCCTGAAGAGTTCAACTCATTACATTCAGTATCCAGTGAGAAAAGAAACATTTAGATTTTTTTTAAAAATACCCCCAAAACTTCAACGCTTTCCATAACCGGCATCATCGAAAAAGTCAGTTTTTCACCCAAAAATCCAACTTCACCAAAATTCCTCAAAGGTGCACACCAGGTGCCTAGAGGCCAGTACTGAATTCCCTGAAGAGTTCAACTCATTACATTCAGTATTCAGTGAGAAAAGAAACATTTAGATTTTTTTAAAAATACCCCCAAAACTTCAACGTTTTCCATAGCCGGCATCATCGAAAAAGTCAGTTTTTCACCCAAAAATCCAACTTCACCAAAATTCCTCAAAGGTGCACACCAGGTGCCTAGAGGCCAGTACTGAATTCCCTGAAGAGTTCAACTCATTACATTCAGTATTCAGTGAGAAAAGAAACATTTAGATTTTTTAAAAAATACCCCCAAAACTTCAACGTTTTCCATAGCCGGCATCATCGAAAAAGTAAGTTTTTCACCCAAAAATCCAACTTCACCAAAATTGCTCAAAGGTTCACACCAGGTGCCTAGAGGGAAGTACTGAATTCCCTGAAGAGTTCAACTCATTACATTCAGTATTCAGTGAGATTAGAAACATTTAGATTTTTGAAAAATACCCCCAAAACTTCAACGTTTTCCATAGCAGGTATCATCGAAAAAGTCAGTTTTGACCCAAAAATCCAACTTCACCAAAATTCCTCAAAAGTTCACACCAGGTGCCTAGAGGCCAGTACTGAATTCCCTGAAGAGTTCAACTCATTACATTCAGTATTCAGAGAGAATAGAAACATTTAGATTTGTGAAAAAATACCCCCAAAACTTCAAAGTTTTCCATAGCCGGCATCATCGAAAAGTCAGTTTTTGACCCAAAAATCAAACTTCACCAAAATTGCTCAAAAGTTCACCCTAGGTGCCTAGAGGCCAGTACTGAATTCCCTGAAGAGTTCAACTCATTACATTCAGTATTCAGAGAGAATAGAAACATTTAGATTTGTGAAAAAATACCCCCAAAACTTCAACGTTTTCCATAGCCGGCATCATTGAAAAAGTCAGTTTTTGACCCAACAATCCAACTTCACCAAAATTGCTCAAAAGTTCACACCAGGTGCCTAGAGGCCAGTACTGAATTCCCTGAAGAGTTCAACTCATTACATTCAGTATCCAGTGAGAAAAGAAACATTTAGATTTTTTTAAAAATACCCCCAAAACTTCAACGCTTTCCATAACCGGCATCATCGAAAAAGTCAGTTTTTCACCCAAAAATCCAACTTCACCAAAATTCCTCAAAGGTGCACACCAGGTGCCTAGAGGCCAGTACTGAATTCCCTGAAGAGTTCAACTCATTACATTCAGTATTCAGTGAGAAAAGAAACATTTAGATTTTTTAAAAATACCCCAAAAACTTCAACGTTTTCCATAGCCGGCATCATCGAAAAAGTCAGTTTTTCACCCAAAAATCCAACTTCACCAAAATTGCTCAAAGGTTCACACCAGGTGCCTAGAGGCCAGTACTGAATTCCCTGAAGAGTTCAACTCATTACATTCAGTATTCAGTGAGAAAAGAAACATTTAGATTTTTGAAAAAAAAACCCCAAAACTTCAACGTTTTCCATAGCCGGCATCATCGAAAAAGTCAGTTTTGACCCAAAAATCCAACTTCACCAAAATTCCTCAAAAGTTCACACCAGGTGCCTAGAGGCCAGTACTGAATTCCCTGAAGAGTTCAACTCATTACATTCAGTATCCAGTGAGAAAAGAAACATTTAGATTTGTGAAAAAATACCCCCAAAACTTCAACGTTTTCCATAGCCGGCATCATCGAAAAAGTCAGTTTTGACCCAAAAATCCAACTTCACCAAAATTCCTCAAAAGTTCACACCAGGTGCCTAGAGGCCAGTACTGAATTCCCTGAAGAGTTCAACTCATTACATTCAGTATTCAAAGAGAATAGAAACATTTAGATTTTTAAAAAATACCCCCAAAACTTCAACGTTTTCCATAACCGGCATCATCGAAAAAGTAAGTTTTTCACCCAAAAATCCAACTTCACCAAAATTGCTCAAAGGTGCACACCAGGTGCCTAGAGGCCAGTACTGAATTCCCTGAAGAGTTCAACTCATTACATTCAGTATTCAGTGAGAATAGAAACATTTAGATTTTTTAAAAAATACCCCCAAAACTTCAACGTTTTCTATAGCAGGCATCATCGAAAAAGTCAGTTTTGACCCAAAAATCCAACTTCACCAAAATTCCTCAAAAGTTCACACCAGGTGCCTAGAGGCCAGTACTGAATTCCCTGAAGAGTTCAACTCATTACATTCAGTATTGAAAGAGAATAGAAACATTTAGATTTTTAAAAAATACCCCCAAAACTTCAACGTTTTCCATAACCGGCATCATCGAAAAAGTAAGTTTTTCACCCAAAAATCCAACTTCACCAAAATTGCTCAAAGGTGCACACCAGGTGCCTAGAGGCCAGTACTGAATTCCCTGAAGAGTTCAACTCATTACATTCAGTATTCAGTGAGAAAAGAAACATTTAGATTTTTAAAAAAATACCCCCAAAACTTCAACGTTTTCCATAGCCGGCATCATCAAAAAAGTCAGTTTTTCACCCAAAATCCAAAAATCCAATCCAATGGCACCACAACTCGTCTTCACACAAAATAGACAGATTATTTCATATTGTTCCAAAATCAGTACGTATTTAAACAACTGCCTGTTTACCTGGGTCAGGGCACATCGATTTTCCAGCGATCTCCGAAAACATCGAAGCGATCATGCCGCCATGATCGCTGGAAATTTTCCTGCTCGCTGATTGGTCGAGGCAATCGCTTCTTACAATTCCCGGATGTACATGTAAACATGTAGTTCGTGTGCAAGTTATGGATTTGTATATCGTTTTCTGTCCAGAATTGTTTTAACTTGGGAAGTTTTGGGGGATACTGATGTAACAATCACCTTACTTATAAATTTGTTTTATTATTTATTATTTCATTTTTAAAGCTATCCTTTCGGCAGTCATATATCTTAACTGAAAACATGTCTGGAATCTCACCCCACCCCAAAATGTGAACATTTGCAATGAAGGAGAAAGTAAATCTGAAATCTTTTTTTTTTCGACTGTTAACTCTTTTATTTCGTTACAAACAACATTGTTACATTACACACATTCAAAACATAAAAAATTGACACTATAGAAAACCTCTTTATCACCAACTGCAATATTTTACCCTGCTGTTTTGTGCATACTCTGTATTCATTTCGTACCATAAAATTTAAGAGTAACTAAAAAGTTTCATAAAGAAAATGAAACAGTCTGACACCGGCCAAAAAAACTGCATTTCACACTGATTGGAAATCATATAACCCGTATTAGTACGCAAGTACATGTACATGTATTATCACAATCTCCATCATATATCAACCATACCGGTGGTTTTGTTTCTGAAAAAAAAGTGCAGAATCAATAACTGCATGATTGACACATACACAATAACAAGTCTGCATCAAAAACTCAACTATACATAAACACAGTTAATGATAAAATGATAAAAAGTCTTTTCTCTTGGAAAATTAAACTTATGGCATGTACAGTGGATATGAAACTAAAATAAAAAATATATGTCATAATGTTCACTTTAACTTCCAATACAACCGTTTACTTCGAAACCCGTATAGAGTAAATGGTACTCGTCTAAGATATTTTGCAATGCATAAATAAATAGTTTTGAATACTTTCTTTTTGGCATTTAAACAACTTAATTAGCAAAGAGTATTTATAGTTGAAGCACACATTAATAACTCAGCTGCTGTACTGGCAATTAAGTAAGATAGCACCTTTGCTTTACCTGAAAGACTTGAAATATTAACAACAAAGTAAACCGCAGCAAGTTTCAGAACATAAAACCAAAATATTTCACATGCATTAAAATAAGTTTGCATTCAAATTACATAACCCGCTTCATTTTACTCCCTTTGAATTAACATAATGAAGTGTATTTGAATTATACCGATTAAATTTCTTGAACTTGTGCCAGAATAATGGTTTTACACTAAACATTTAGCTAGAATATAAATGAAAATAAAAGCTCTACTACTTACATTGTACGCTACAAGTGTTTAAAAGACAACACACTAAAACATTTAACAGATTACAAAAGAAATTCACCACTTTTCATTGATATTGTAATCAGGCCTAAGATACATATTTGTAGTTTCAAAGCTCATCTTCTGACATACTGTCTTCAGAGAAGAAACTGTCGGTTAGATCACCGATATCATTAGAAGGCACAGAAACGTCATTGTCTACAAACTCTTCATCACTGCTGGATGAGCAAGAGAGCAGAGACTCATCATCAGAAATAACAGGCTCTGGTGTAGGCAAATGTACACTTGATACAGGTAAATTACCACAATTTCTGCATGTGCATCCAGGCCCACATGCTTCGTTAATTTTCCTACATTTGCATTGTTTCGTCAAACACTTGCTTTTGGCACATGCGCAACCTCTTGTTAAGTGCAATACATTTTTACGAATTTTGTCCATGTTTGCTGGTGAATCCCATACAATCTGTACTTCATCAGAATCATTATCATGTTGCCAACCATACAGATTTAAGTCTGGGTAATTGAACATTGGCTGCATTGCTGTGCCCCACACTTGGCTTACCCAACATGATCTCAGCCAATGGAAGGACAGTGCAGAGTCAGAGGGTAGCAATGTATCCTCATAAACACCCTGCCAAGATGCTTTGCGGATAATGGACAGAAATTTACAGTGATGTTCAAATACTGTTGACGCCTCAATACTATTGAAAAGCTCGACAGGATTACTGGCATGTTGATTTAAAGAAGCACGATTTGCTTGGAAATAAACACAACCAACTAATCTATAAAATGATAACAGTCCAAGCTCATGATTAACATGAAGATCAGTAAAAGATAGCTGACCACATGTCTCCGGTAGAGAACTTCCTGATATAAAATCTGAAAACTAAACAAATACTTTCAAAAAGGTACTTTTCCCAAGCCGTGCAAAGTAAGAAACAAAATCGCAGCCAGTAACAATATATAAGATTTGGATTATCTTATGAACATCGTGTCCTTGTTTCAATAAAGGCGCAAGGTCTGTATCACTTGAAAGAGCAGATCTGAGAACATCAATATCAAGAAATTTTTCTTCTGTTGAAGAGGCCTTGAATTGAATTACAACAATTTTATTACGAAAATTAAACGGCAATCCAATCATACCTATATCCCGATCTAATGAGTATATGTGTACAGTTGGACATGCAGTTTCTCTTACATGCAACCAGATTTGGGTGTCACTTTCTTCATGATTATGAATTATTTCATGTGGGACTACTCCATTCATAGAAACACACATTCCTGTCATATCATGTGTGACAGACTCATCATCTATGAAGCGCGCGCCGCCTGATGTAACAAAAAGTTGATCAGATGACTGTAAAGTGGATGGGACAATTTCTAAAAATTTGTGTGATAGATATTTACAAAGTTTCTGTTTATTTTGCCTTATTTTCAGAAACTTTGACCAACTTGTTGGGAGAGGAGTTTTGTCAGCTATGAGTGAATAAACTTCTACTTCATCGTCTATCCCAGCGTCCCTTCTTGCCTTTCAAAACTTTTGGGAGATATACCTTGTGAGCATACTTGATCAAAAAGGATGCGCACTTCCATATATTTTTTCTTAAAAAATGGCGTCACCCATCTTGACACAATCATATGAGCATATTCTACAAAGGTTTTGAAGCCTGGCAGGGGATTTGAATAAATAATATTCATACCTTCTGCTATTAAACATGTGCCTGAGGGGAAAACATATGCATCTTTCACAGGTGAGCATGTCCCTGCATACCTCTTGCCAAGAAGGCCATACATCACATACTTAGCACCTTTGCAGGGTAAACCAGATGGAGTACAAAGAGCTCTAGGTGTTTCAATAAATTGGAGCAATTGATTGATAGGCTGGTTGTGTTCTTCGGAAAATGCGATTGTCCGTTTATAACAGAGTGTTATTAATTTTTTTTCTTTTTCCAGGTAATTAATTGTTCGCTTTGTGACTTTCTCCTTTGCAAAAGTTCGAAGACGATGTTTCCTTGTTACAGGTTTAGCTAAACTGGACTCTTTCAAAATGCAGAAACGAACATAATTGTCATATGACGACAGTCCAACATCTCTGTACGATAACAAACTTTTTTGCTGAACCTTTGAGGCAGGTTTAGCTTCAAAGGCGTGCATCAAAATTGGTTGCTGATCATTCTGAAAGATAATGCTTTCGCTAGCCTTAGAAAAGTAAGTTTTCACATTTTCCAGTTCAGCTTTGATCACAGAAGGAGAAAAATCTCTTTGAAGATGTCCCGATGAAGAGTGAAATGAAATTTGCTGCTGAAAATTATCAACAAGACGGGCTTGAAATTCTATTGTTCCTGTAATCTTGTCCATATTTGTTGGCAATCCTCGAGACAATGCCATTTTACAATCCTTGTTTATGAGCATTTCATGAGCTTCATCAAAACCACAGAGGAAAAATTCACCCCACGTATGCTAGATACAAAACCTCCATTCTTAAAGTGGTCAAGTATGTACTCTGGAAGGCCATGCATGTGACTTAAATGAACAGGAATAATTTTTGAATAATTCTGCCTGTCAAAGGCATAGAACAAAGGAACCATTTTCTTTAGGGCAACCTGACGCATATTCCAATCGCCAGTTCTTATGGCGATCCACAACTGTATGTAGCCAAAACAATCTTCTTTCAGGAATCTATTCCAGAATTTGAATGTTTCATATTTTTTTGCCATAGTATTACAAAACTCGGAAAACTCATTAAGCAAGGCTGGTAAAAACTCATGGAGTCTTACATGTATCCTGGCAACAAATTCCTCCATCCCTGCATACTCACAGAAGTCACCTTGAACATGCACTAGATCCACAACATTTTGGACAATTTTGTGTAACTCTTCATTATCGATGGTGCACAGTGTATCTGGTTTACCCCGTCTAAAATCAAGGAAACACTTGAACTGATAAATATATATTGCCTCATAAACTTGAAGCAAAAATCGGTGTGTTCTTTTAAAGTTTCCACCAGATTTTAAGTTGGTCAGGGTGTTGCCTTTATGCGTTGTCTTGGCAATGTCTTTGAGCCCAGCATCCCAAAATATTTTCATCAACACCTCTTGGAAATTTTTTAATATATGCCAGTCTCCTACATATGGAATGACCCAGTCAAGTATGTCTCCATACTCCTTTTTCACATCAAGCAATATCTTTATTGTTGCTCCATCCCCAGCTAGAACGAGGTGATTGATTGATTTTGACACTTTAAACAAGTCATACAAAAGGCCAATCACCGATTTAAGAGTCTGGGCGCAATCAGCCTTTTCATTTAAGACATGTAAATATGCAAATTTGGACTGTTCACATCGAGGTTTTGAATGCAGCATCATATTACATTTCATACCGGGTACATAGTGCTCTGTGAATTTGACGACAGAAACATACCTCTCAATTATATGCATGAAAACGTCACGCTCCAATTTTCTTTCACAGACTTTTTCTTCATCAGATGGAAAGAAACTGTCTACAGTCAACTGCTGTCGTATAAATGTTTTAAAGAGAGGTGATGAAAACTGAGACTTCTCGGGGACAGTCAAATTGAAATCCTGAACAAGTCTTCTAACTGAGGGCTTATGATTGACGGCGCTACCCTGTTTAGAGATAAATGCATTGTCACATGGTGATGATACCGAATCAACTGCGTGTACAACTGGGTCATGTTCATTCGACTTATCAGGTTCAGCTACACTTCCTGATATGAGCTCAATTAAATCAGGCTTTGTTTGAGCATTGGATTCATGGACTGCAACATGCCAATTAGTGAAATAATCTTCCAGTTCATAACCATGTACCGGTACATGCAAGCCCTGATTCTCATTTAAGTTAAGACCGTCAATATCTGGTCTACAGCTCCTGCAGTAAAGTAAATCAAAATGGCCAGCCAAGTCATTAGTTCCAGGACTATACAGTAAACAAATGTGATACTCTGAAAGTTTCTCAGGTGGATATTTAGCAACTAATTTCAAACCTTGAACCATTCTCTGATAAATGCAAATTTCCATCCGTAAAACACACACAAGAGAGCATATTTCTAAATTACTAGCATACGTTCCAGACTTTCTGTTATCCACTATCTTTTCTGAGAAAGATGAATAGAATACCTTATTTGACGACTCTAAGTAAACCCGTTTGATCACTTCAGGAAGCAATTCTAATGAAGCAGTAAACATCTCAAGATGTAGACAAACACAATGTCTGATATTATCAGCAATTTGCTGCTCCAGTTGAAAGTCATCATTGTTTGTGGGAATGCCCACTTCATTTCTCTCACAAAAGAGCAAATCATGTCTACTGTATGAAGCAATGCACCTGTAAAAGCACCGACCATCACCATATATTTGTATTATTTTGAAGTCAGGGACTTTAGAGTGAACATCAGTTCCAATCAACTCTCCAACAGCACTTAACTTTTCAGTGAGGGGCATGGGCTGTTGAGCCATGACTGATGTTCCATGCCAACTTCTGCCTGATCCCTTTGAAGTAATTGCTGCCTGACTGGCAAGAACATCGATATTATCAATAGTTACCACAGAAAAGGAATTTAAATCAAGAGATGACAAAAGTCCTGATTGCTGACAGAGCTGTTTGACGTGTTCTAAATATCTGTCTAAAGTGTCTTCGGATGTGCAGAGCCCTGACTGATTAAATAACTTCATCAGCTTTGAGGAATGTGAAAGTCTTTTAATGATATTTGCAGTGGTGATGTGGAAAGGGTAATTATTTGTTTCACTGTAAACAAACTGCATACACATGATCAATATGACTCTTCTATTACGACGCTGCTTTCCATGTAACTTTGAGTAAGTGGGAAACATCACCTTCTTCTGGTTCCATATTAACTCACTGCTCCTAAAATACTTAAGCTCATCGGCATTGGCAGTCAATACAGCGACAGTGTTCCAAATAAGTGGGTCAATCATTTCTATGAGAGAATCAAAATCAAAAGAGGCTATTTCACAGGGGTTTCTTGTGTAGTGTTCTGTTATACGCTTTGACTGATGTCTGAGTTTTTCATTAATCAGTGGAAGAACACTCTGTGCCATGGAACCAACATCTCCAGGATGACCAAAGGCAGATTTATTGCAATGACCTGAAGGGATTTGCTCTTGCGTTTCTTTTTCTCATGGCGTAACCTCCAACAAGATAAATGTAGGGCCTTCCTCAAATCCAGATTCCTAAATACTAATAAAATGCTTTGTTTTCTTGCCATCTTGTGTACTTCTAACAAATCACAGAATTTTCCCAAGATTTTTGAAAGCAACCATCTACTTGTGCAGGCACTTTTACATTGATCGAAACATGTGTCATTATCTACTGATTCCTTACTGCACTCAGTATTCAGAAAAGAAAGAAAACAGTCAAAAGCATCTGCCAGGAGAAATGCTTCATCACTTCGACACATCTTACAAAGCTCCATGTAAGAATTATGCAGGGCAGTATTAACATGAGAGGAGTCTTCTTCACGGAGATGCAAACTAATTTCTACATCTTCTAAACTTATTTTGGGCACAACCTCCCTTTTTGCAACCGAGTAACAACTATAGCACAAGTAACTGGATTCATTTATGATCGCTTCATCTTTTGAAACTTTTAAATGTAGATAGACTTGCTCAACATCTAGATTAACACAATAATACTTTCTTGTAAAGGAGGGTAGGAAGACAGCACATACAGAACACTTTGCATTAGTGTTCCAATTCCGTTTTTGTGATTTGTGCGCACTGCACAGTGGAATAGAATCAGGGATTTCTAAACACTGGCTTATTCCAAAACAAGCTTTAAATTGGTCCAGAGAAAATGAACTATCCACAACAGACACAGAACTACACTGGCCAAAACTGTTCAAAAAACAAATCTCCCTCTTTTTGGCACGTGTTTTTTCTGGTGTGTACACAGGATTTTTCATTTTTTTAACATACTTGTGGCGACATGCATTACATATACATGCATCTTGTGCCAAATGAGGAACCGTTGATTTAAATACATACTTAGTTGGGTATTTTTTAGTGTAGCCAAATGAAACCATCTACTTGCTGCTTTTGTTTTTTGACACAAATTGCAAGGACCGCACAAGTGTTTCTTACAGGGGGGCTGGTTTAATCCCCTTTACCTGTCTTCACCCTGCAACAGCATGGGCTGACTAGACGTAGAGGTACTTGGGCTTGCTTGGGAATGCATCGATGATTGCCGGGACTGCTGAGAAGATACATGGCACTCATACGTCTCCTGCACAAAAAAACAAGGGCAGTTTCAAAATAACTGATCTGACAGTGGAAGCTACCATCTATATTTCAAACAAATTTGGATTGGACACACTAATAATGAGTTTAAAAATAAAAAATGGCAACACTTCCAATGCTAAATCTGGAGAAAGGTTTTCATGTATTCCAATGAAGTAGAGCAATGTTTCTTAGGCATGAAAATGAAAGTGTAAATTGCGCATGGAAATGTAGTAGCTGCAGTCAGACACCACTTCAAAGAACACAACATGGAGTCCGTAAAGTGTTTGTTATAATGGATGTTTGTGCGTTATACATGCAACAGTACTAAGTAAAGTAAATAAGAACCAACGAGCATGCTTATTTTAGCCAAATATTCATTACAGGTACATATTTTTACTGCAATGGGAAAGTACGTTTTGCAAACCTTGAACTTTCGTCGCCGTCTTCTCTTTTTGATTCTCCTTGTTGCTCGACGCCTTTGTTTGCCTCTCTTCCGGCTAGAAACATACGGAGAGTCAGCTTTCGGCACTTCAAGGGTTGCTCCTACGCTTGTAGACTTCCCCTCCCTGATCTCGTATGGCAAAGTTGCCATTGCTGCCAATGGTTTGACATAGCAATTGACCTGTTTAGGTGGAAACAATCCTAGTAGGCAAAATCCATCGTCGTCAAAAATGTGTACAATACAGCGCCTCAGCTTCTTCCTGACAGTAGCCAATGATGGGGTCAGCTTTCTTCCTTTGCCATACGATCGTGAGGAAGGCCTGGAAGATGAGACTGACTTCTTGGTATTGGATGGTGAGGCTGGAGGTGGTAGAATAGAACTAGAAGGTGAGACAAGGCTTGGCATGGCAGGAGTTGGCGAAGGGGGGGCTTGTGGGTTGGGAGTTTTCTTAGCACCAGCAGCGGCGGTATTTGGCAAAGGGGTAGGTGGCGAGGCAAGAGTTGGACTGGCAGGAGTCAGTGATGATAGACTTGGCAAGGAAGTTGAGTTGCTTGGCTGTTGGGCAGGAGTTTGCATAGCACATGTCGTGGCAGTAGATGGGGACGGTGGAGATGCTGACTTTGTTGGGGATGGCGATTGTGAAGAACCCTTCTTCTTCCTTGTGTGCTGACGAACTAATTTCTTTAGTTCACGTGGGACAAAGGGGAGTCGCTTAAGTTTAACCTCTAGCATTTTCTGGAGGTATCTCTGTACCGCCTCTCCGAACAAAGCATTGCCATCCCAGTTGAGATGCAGACCATCCCAGGCGTATGCCCACCTACTGAACTCATTGCCAAAATCAACAAAGTTGCAACCAACTTTGGCACACAAGATGCCAATTGCAACATTGTGATGCATTCTAGATGTGTCTAGTGCCTCACTGTCATGCCGGGGTAAGATGGCACTGACAACAATTTTTGTCAAGGGGAACACCTCACGTAATGTTGCGAGAAGCAACTTGAATTCTTCAATGTTACTATGAAGAAACCCATACTGAAGATTGTTGGTTCCGACGTGAATAAGGACAATGTCTGGGGCTTCTGGAATCCTGAACTCTGAATGACGTAGGCTCTTGTGTATACTGGAAATTGTTCCACCACGTTGCGTGTAAACATCTACATCCACCAATGGACTCTCAATGTTGGCCTCTAAATATTTTGTCAGCGAATCTCCTATCACGAATACTTTAGCCTTTCCAGAGTTAGACGTGCTTGGCCAGACAGGTGGTCGCCATGACCTTAAAACAGATGGAAAAACATACATGTTGATGAAAAGACATACATGTTGATGAAAAGACATACATGAAGAACAGCGTTAGCAGTTTTAAGAACTTCCAAATTTTTTTTCGTCCCCCATCACAAAACTTGTATGATTTTGAAATCATATCAAAGTAGACAAGTATTGCGAAAAATCAAAATGATGACCACTGTGAATACGCGTGAGTTGATTTCAGTCAGTACTCAGTCCCAACATGATTGTACAGTACAAACTACATGTACACGTACATCATACATACATACAATAATAATACTAGCATGATGATTTTAAAAAAATTCAAAAGGCATGTATGTAGAAATGTACATGATGTACATAGATATCGAGAATCGTTTTAGATTTAGATTTTAGTTGGTGGAAAGACTGTTGCAGTCGGAAGCTGCTTTTTTCTTCATATATCATCTGAATGAAGGTCAGTCATTGCAAACAAATGATGATAAGACATGAATTTGGACAATGTTGGAACTGAGAAGCATTTCCAATTTTGTTAGGAAATACTTAAGAAAATGCTCTTGGCTCTCCATCATGTCCATAGTCATGATAGTCTTTGTGCACAATTAACCACCGAAGTGGCGTCAGGTTGCAACATTCATTCCTATACGGCCAATAATTATTAAAAATTCACTAGGCCTATAATAATATATTAATATTTTCAATTCATATTCATAACAAAAAAAATTAAAATTCACATCACATTCACCACAACAAATAAAATAGGCCTATCCATTAAAATCGCTAGCTAGTTCCAAGTTAATGCATTGTCGTTTGTGCACACGACCGTGATCACCATTGATTACATGCACACATGTAGAGAAAATCTGGAGAAAATAACAGCGTTGCTGTTGAAACCCCTCAGCCAGAGTCAAGTTATCATCCGGAAACCATTAACCTTTAACTCAACGTGGTGACCTTGACCTTTGGCCTTTGACCCCAGAACCAGTCCCAACATGCCTGTACCAATGGGAAACCCCCTACCGAAGTTAGACACCAACATTTCATTTCTAACTCAAGTTATCATTCGGAACCATTTACATTGAACTCACCACGGTGACCTTGACCTTTGACCTTTTGACCCCAAAACCAATCCCAACTTGCCTGTACCCAAGGGCAAACCCCTACCTCAGTCAGACACCAAAATCTCATTTCTAACTCAAGTTATCATCCGGAAACCATTTACCTTTAACTCACCATGCTGACCTTGACCTTTGACCTTTTGACCCCCAAACCAATCCCAACTTGCCTTCTCCCAAGGGGAACCCTCTTCCAAAGTTAGACACCAAAATCGCATTTCTAACTCAAGTTATCATCCGGAAACCATTTACCTTTAACTCACAATGGTGACCTTGACCTTTGACCTTTTGACCCAAAAACCAATCCCAACTTGCCTACTCCCAAGGGCAACCCTCTACCAAAGTTAGACACCAAAATCTCATTTCTAACTCAAGTTATCACCCGGAAACCATTTACATTTAACTCACCACGGTGACCTTGACCTTTGACCTTTTGACCCCAAAACCAATCCCAACTTGCCTACTCCCAAGGGCAACCCCCTACCAAAGTTAGACACCAAAATCTCATTTCTAACTCAAGTTATCATCCGGAAACCATTTACATTTAACTCACCACGGTGACCTTGACCTTTGACCTTTTGACCTCAAAACCAATCCCAACTTGCCTACTCCCAAGGGCAACCCCCTACCAAAGTTAGACACCAAAATCTCATTTCTAACTCAAGTTATCATCCGGAAACCATTTACATTTAACTCACCACGGTGACCTTGACCTTTGACCTTTTGACCTCAAAACCAATCCCAACTTGCCTACTCCCAAGGGCAACCCCCTACCAAAGTTAAACACCAAAATCTCATTTCTTACTCAAGTTATCATCCGGAAACCATTTACATTTAACTCACCACGGTGACCTTGACCTTTGACCTTTTGACCCCAAAACCAATCCCAACTTGCCTACTCCCAAGGGCAACCCCTACCAAAGTTAGACACCTAAATCTCATTTCTAACTCAAGTTATCATCCGGAAACCATTTACATTTAACTCACCACGGTGACCTTGACCTTTGACCTTTTGACCCCAAAACCAATCCCAACTTGCCTACTCCCAAGGGCAACCCCCTACCAAAGTTAGACACCAAAATCTCATTTCTAACTCAAGTTATCATCCGGAAACCATTTACATTTAACTCACCACGGTGACCTTGACCTTTGACCTTTTGACCTCAAAACCAATCCCAACTTGCCTACTCCCAAGGGCAACCCCCTACCGAAGTTACAACCCCAAACAACATTTCTAACTCAAGTTATCATCCGGAAACTAAGCTGCCCGGACGGACGGACGGACGGACGGACGGCCCTACATCCGGACGGACGGACGCCCTAGGCGATGACAATACCCCTCGAGCCTCTCGGCTGAGGGGTAAAAACTGAAATCTCGCGCGCAAGAATTACTTCATAAAAAAAAAATTGAAATCGCCACAGCTCCAAATCTATATTACACGAAAGAACGTATTTTCGTCTTGCCAAATATCGGGAGAGATTTCCATATTTTTTTCTTCCTGGGTCAGGGCACACCTACAAAAATACCTTCCAAAATCACCCTGATATGTTTAGCCATCTTTCAGGTGTCATTAATCAGTCAAAAAGCAAGTTATATTGGCAAAATTTATATCATTCGACTCGGAAAGATTCGCACAAGAAACTCACCACGCCATCTTGGCTGTCAGCTGTATGGGTTTTTAGAACGTGTAGTTGGTACGAAAGCCAACGAACTCTCGAAAAATCACGCGCAAGTCTCGCGGCCGATCGGTGTGTGGGGCGCTGCAAATAAATCGCGTAATATGACCTCATTATCGCTGGCGCTGCGGACTGACTGTTCACCAAAATTCCTCAAAAGTTCACACCAGGTGCCTAGAGGCCAGTTCTGAATTCCCTGAAGAGTTCAACTCATTACATTCAGTATCCAGTGAGAAAAGAAACATTTAGATTTTTTTTAAAATACCCCCCAAACTTCAACGTTTTCCATAGCCGGCATCATCGAAAAGTCAGTTTTTGACCCAAAAATCCAACTTCACCAAAATTGCTCAAAAGTTCACACCAGGTGCCTAGAGGCCAGTACTGAATTCCCTGAAGAGTTCAACTCATTACATTCAGTATCCAGTGAGAAAAGAAACATTTAGATTTTTTTTAAAATGCCCCCAAAACTTCAACGTTTTCCATAGCCGGCATCATCGAAAAAGTCAGTTTTGACCCAAAAATCCAACTTCACCAAAATTCCTCAAAAGTTCACACCAGGTGCCTAGAGGCCAGTACTGAATTCCCTGAAGAGTTCAACTCATTACATTCAGTATTCAGAGAGAATAGAAACATTTAGATTTAAAAAAAAATACCCCCAAAACTTCAACGTTTTCCATAACCGGCATCATCGAAAAAGTCAGTTTTTCACCCAAAAATCCAACTTCACCAAAATTGCTCAAAGGTGCACACCAGGTGCCTAGAGGCCAGTACTGAATTCCCTGAAGAGTTCAACTCATTACATTCAGTATTCAGTGAGAAAAGAAACATTTAGATTTTTAAAAAAATACCCCCAAAACTTCAACGTTTTCCATAGCCGGCATCATCGAAAAAGTCAGTTTTTCACCCAAAAATCCAACTTCACCAAAATTGCTCAAAGGTTCACACCAGGTGCCTAGAGGCCAGTTCTGAATTCCCTGAAGAGTTCAACTCATTACATTCAGTATTCAGAGAGAATAGAAACATTTAGATTTGTGAAAAAATACCCCCAAAACTTCAAAGTTTTCCATAGCCGGCATCATCGAAAAGTCAGTTTTTCACCCAAAAATCCAACTTCACCAAAATTGCACAAAAGTTCACACCAGGTGCCTAGAGGCCAGTACTGAATTCCCTGAAGAGTTCAACTCTTTTCATTCAGTATTCAGTGAGAATAGAAACATTTAGATTTTTGCAAAAATACCCCCAAAACTTCAACGTTTTCCATAGCCGGCATCATCGAAAAAGTCAGTTTTTCACCCAAAAATCCACCTTCACCAAAATTCCTCAAAGGTTCACACCAGGTGCCTAGAGGCCAGTACTGAATTCCCTGAAGAGTTCAACTCATTACATTCAGTATTCAGTGAGAAAAGAAACATTTAGATTTTTTAAAAAATACCCCCAAAACTTCAACGTTTTCCGTAGCCGGCATCATCGAAAAAGTCAGTTTTGACCCAAAAATCCAACTTCACCAAAATTCATCAAAAGTCATCAAAAGTTCACACCAGGTGCCTAGAGGCAAGTACTGAATTCCCTGAAGAGTTCAACTCATTACATTCAGTATTCAGTGAGAATAGAAACATTTAGATTTTTAAAAAAATACCCCCAAAACTTCAACGTTTTCCATAGCCGGCATCATCCAAAAAGTCAGTTTTTCACCCAAAAATCCAACTTCACCAAAATTGCTCAAAGGTTCACACCAGGTGCCTAGAGGCCAGAATTGAATTTCCTGAAGAGTTCAACTCATTACATTCAGTATCCAGTGGGAAAAGAAAATTTTTTAATTTTTACAAAATGCCCCCAAAACTTCAACGTTTTCCATAGTCGGCATCATCGAAAAAGTCAGTTTTGACCCAAAAATCCAACTTCACCAAAATTCATCAAAAGTCAACAAAAGTTCACACCACGTGCCTAGAGGCCAGTACTGAATTCCCTGAAGAGTTCAACTCATTACATTCAGTATTCAGTGAGAATAGAAACATTTAGATTTTTAAAAAAATACCCCCAAAACTTCAACGTTTTCCATAGCCGGCATCATCGAAAAAGTCAGTTTTTGACCCAAAAATCCAACTTCACCAAAATTCCTCAAAAGTTCACACCAGGTGCCTAGAGGCCAGGACTGAATTCCCTGAAGAGTTCAACACATTACATTCAGTATTCAGAGAGAATAGAAACATTTAGATTTGTGAAAAAATACCCCCAAAACTTCAACGTTTTCCATAGCCGGCATCATCGAAAAAGTCAGTTTTTCACCCAAAAATCCAACTTCAAAAAAATTGCTCAAAAGTTCACACCAGGTGCCTAGAGGCCAGTACTGAATTCCCTGAAGAGTTCAACTCATTACATTCAGTATCCAGTGAGAAAAGAAACATTTAGATTTTTTTAAAAATGCCCCAAAACTTCAACGTTTTCCATAGCCGGCATCATCAAAAAAGTCAGCTTTGACCCAAAAATCCAACTTCACCAAAATTGCTCAAAAGTTCACACCAGGTGCCTAGAGGCCAGTACTGAATTCCCTGAAGAGTTCAACTCATTACATTCAGTATCCAGTGAGAAAAGAAACATTTAGATTTTTTAAAAATACCCCCAAAACTTCAACGTTTTCCATAGCCGGCATTATCGAAAAAGTCAGTTTTGACCCAAAAATCCAACTTCACCAAAATTGCTCAAAAGTTCGCACCAGGTGCCTAGAGGCAAGTACTGAATTCCCTGAAGAGTTCAACTCATTACATTCAGTATTCAGAGAGAATAGAAACATTTAGATTTTAAAAAAAATACCCACAAAACTTCAACGTTTTCCATAGCCGGCATCATCGAAAAAGTCAGTTTTTGACCCAAAAATCCAACTTCACCAAAATTCCTCAAAGGTTCACACCAGGTGCCTAGAGGCCAGTACTGAATTCCCTGAAGAGTTCAACTCATTACATTCAGTATCCAGTGAGAAAAGAAACATATAGATTTTTTAAAAAATACCCCAAAACTTCAACGTTTTCCATAGCCTGCATCATCGAAAAAGTCAGTTTTGACCCAAAAATCCAACTTCACCAAAATTCCTCAAAAGTTCACACCAGGTGCCTAGAGGCCAGTTCTGAATTCCCTGAAGAGTTCAACTCATTACATTCAGTATCCAGAGAGAATAGAAACATTTAGATTTGTGAAAAAATACCCCCAAAACTTCAACGTTTTCCATAGCCGGCATCATCGAAAAGTCAGTTTTTGACCCAAAAATCCAACTTCACCAAAATTCCTCAAAAGTTCACTCCAGGTGCCTAGAGGCCAGTACTGAATTCCCTGAAGAGTTCAACTCATTACATTCAGTATTCAGAGAGAATAGAAACATTTAGATTTGTGAAAAAATACCCCCAAAACTTCAACGTTTTCCATAGCCGGCATCATCAAAAAGTCAGTTTTTGACCCAAAAATCCAACTTCAAAAAAATTGCTCAAAAGTTCACACCAGGTGCCTAGAGGCCAGTACTGAATTCCCTGAAGAGTTCAACTCATTACATTCAGTATCCAGTGAGAAAAGAAACATTTTGATTTTTTTAAAAATACCCCAAAACTTCAACGTTTTCCATAGCCGGCATCATCGAAAAAGTCAGTTTTGACCCAAAAATCCAACTTCACCAAAATTGCTCAAAAGTTCACACCAGGTGCCTAGAGGCCAGTACTGAATTCCCTGAAGAGTTCAACTCATTACATTCAGTATCCAGTGAGAAAAGAAACCTTAATATTTTTTGAAAAATACCCCCAAAACTTCAACGTTTTCCATAGCCGGCATCATCGAAAAAGTAAGTTTTGACCCAAAAATCCAACTTCACCAAAATTGCTCAAAAGTTCACACCAGGTGCCTAGAGGCCAGTACTGAATTCCCTGAAGAGTTCAACTCATTACATTCAGTATTCAGAGAGAATAGAAACATTTAGATTTAAAAAAAATACCCACAAAACTTCAACGTTTTCCATAGCCGGCATCATCGAAAAAGTCAGTTTTTCACCCAAAAATCCAACTTCACCAAAATTGCTCAAAGGTTCACACCAGGTGCGTAGAGGCCAGAATTGAATTCCATGAAGAGTTCAACTCATTACATTGAGTATCCAGTGCGAAAAGAAAATTTTTAATTTTTACAAAATGACCCCAAAACTTCAACGTTTTCCATAGCCGGCATCATCGATCAAGTCAGTTTTTGACCCAAAAATCCAACTTCACCAAAATTCCTCAAAGGTTCACACCAGGTGCCTAGAGGCCAGTACTGAATTCCCTGAAGAGTTCAACTCATTACATTCAGTATCCAGTGAGAAAAGAAACATTTAGATTTTTTAAAAAATACCCCCAAAACTTCAACGTTTTCCATAGCCGGCATCATCGAAAAAGTCAGTTTTGACCCAAAAATCCAACTTCACCAAAATTCATCAAAAGTCATCAAAAGTTCACACCAGGTGCCTAGAGGCCAGTACTGAATTCCCTGAAGAGTTCAACTCATTACATTCAGTATTCAGTGAGAATAGAAACATTTAGATTTTTAAAAAAATACCCCCAAAACTTCAACGTTTTCCATAGCCGGCATCATCGAAAAAGTCAGTTTTTCACCCAAAAATCCAACTTCACCAAAATTGCTCAAAGGTTCACACCGGGTGCCTAGAGACCAGAATTGAATTTCCTGAAGAGTTCAACTCATTACATTCAGTATCCAGTGGGAAAAGAAAAATTTTTAATTTTTACAAAATGCCCCCAAAACTTCAACGTTTTCCATAGCCGGCATCATCGAAAAAGTAAGTTTTTGAAACAAAAATCCCACTTCACCAAAATTGCACAAAAGTTCACACCAGGTGCCTAGAGGCCAGTACTGAATTCCCTGAAGAGTTAAACTCATTACATTTAGTATTCAGTGAGAATAGAAACATTTAGATTTTTGCAAAAATACCCCAAAACTTCAACGTTTTCCATAGCCGG